GGAAGGAAGGAAGGAAGGAAGGAAGGAAGGAAGGAAGGGAAGGAAGGAAGGAAGGAAGGGAGAAAGGAAGGAAGGAAGGAAGGAAGGGAGGAAGGGAGGAAGGAAGGGAGGGAGGAAGGGAGGGAGGGAGGGAGGGAGGGAGGGAAGGAAGGAAAGGAAGGAAAAGAGAAGAGAAAACGGCCTTTGGGTTTCACCTGCAAATCCTGGGCCACTTCATTCATTTATTATGTATTACTACATTTTTTACTATGATGCTGATACACTACCCACATGGTCCCATGAGCATTTTGGGTTTACAACCTATGATTAATACATTAATAATACGATCACGCCCCCTACCACCTTTTTTTTTTTCTTTTTTCGTAAAAAGCAATTGCGATAACAAAATAAAACTTAAGTCCTTATATGTATACTTGCAGAAAGAGGGCCTACCACTTTTTCTATCACAGACTGCTAAATTGTTCTGTATTTCTTGGAACAAGTATGCATATTTTTGTCATTAAAAAGACATTATAGGCCAGGCCCCATGGCTCATTCCTGTAATCCCAGAGGCGGGCAGGCAGATCACCTGAGGTCATGAGTTTGAGACCAACCTGGCTGACACGGTGAAACCCCATCTCTACTACAAAATACAAAAATTAGCCAGGCATGCTGACACACACCTGTAATCCCAGCTATTCGGGAGGCTGAGGCAGGAAAATCACTTGAACCTAGGTGGCGGATGTTGCAGTAAGCCCAGATAATGGCACTGCACTCCAACCTGGGCGACAGAGCAGGACTTAGTCTCAAAAACCAAAAAAGAGTTTATAGTGGCTAGGTACAGTGGCTCACGCCTGTAATCCCAGGATTTTGGGAAGCTAAGGCGGGCCAATCACTTGAGGCCAGGAGTTCGAGACCAGCCTGGTCAACACAGTGAAACCCTGTCTCTACCAAAAAAAAAAAAAAAAAATTAGCCAGGCATGGTAGTGCACGCCTGTAGTCCCAGCTACTCGGGAGGCTGAGGCAGGAGAATCACTTGAACCCAAGAGGCAGAGGCTGCAGTGAGCTGAGATCGCACCACTGCACTCCAGCCTGGGCCATATAGTGAGTGAGACTCCATGCCAAAAAAAAAAAGGAAAAAAAGAGAGATTATAAATGTTCAAGTTAAAATGTTTGGCTCGGAGATCACAAGACTTGCCTCTGCTCTTCTTGGCAACCTGGGTGAACAGGTGAATACAGAGGAGCGTGAGCTTCTAGAAGTGCCCGTGGGAGTAAATCACCTTTTCTCTGGTCCAGGCCTAGAAGGAATCTGTGCCAGGGGAGGGAAGAGAACCAATAGCCACTGAGCAGCCACTGGATACCAGGCCCTGGCCATGCTCTGCAGCCATCGCACAGGATCCTTGCACCACTCTGTGGGGTCAACATTCCCCCCTCCTGCTTTTTTTTTAAAGACAGAATCTAGCTCTATTGCCCAGGCTGAGTGCAGTGGTGCGATCTCAGCTCACTGCAACCTCCACCTCCCAGGTTCAAGCGATTCTCATGCCTCAGCTTCCCAGGTAGCTGGGGTTGCAGGCGTGCACCACCACACCTGGCAAATTTTTGTATTTTTAGTAGAGGCAGGGTTTCACCATATTGCTCAGGCTAGTCTTTAACTCCTGGCCTCAAGTGATCCACCTGCTTCAGCATCCCAAAGTGCTAGGATTACAGGCATGAGCCACCATGCCCGGCCCTCTCTGTTTTTTTAAGTAGCTTTATTGAGCTATAATTTATATGCCATCAAATTTACCCATTTTAAGTGCACAATTTGATTACCTTTAGCAAATTTACAGAGTTGCAAAACATCCCTACGGTCCACTGCGGGGACATTTCTGTCACCCCAAAACGATCCCTGTGCGTGTTCCACCGTCACTCCCCACTCCCACCTCCAGCACGGGACAACCACGAATCTGCTTTCGGTTTTTTTTGCCTTTCCTGGTGGCCTTTTGCACCGCCTCTTTCACTGAACATGTTTTTGAGTTTCATCCATGTTGCAGCCTCTATCTGTACTTTATTTCTTTCTATATATTTTTATTTATTATTTAATTTGATTGATTGATTGATTGATTTTTTTTTTGAGGCAAGTGTTGCTCCATTGCGCAGGCTGGAATGCAGTGGTGCAATCTCGGCTCCCTGCAACCTCCGCCCCCAGGATTCAAGCAATTCTCCTGTCTCAGCCTCCCGAGTAGCTGGGACTACAGGCGCCTGCCACCAGGCCCAGTTAATTTGTTTGTATTTTTATTAAATACGGGGTTTCACCTTGTTGGTCAGGCTGATCTTGAGCCACTGACCTCAGCTGATCCACTGGCCTCGGCCTCCCAAAGTGCTGGGATTATAGGTGTGAGCCACTGCGCCCGGCCTGATTTAATTATTTTTTGTTTTTGAGGCAGGGTCTCACTCTGTTGTCCAGGTTGGAGTGCAGTTGTGCGATCATGGCTCACTGCAGCCTTGACCTCCCAGACTCAAACGTCCTCCCACCTCTGCCTCCTAAGTAGCTGGGAATACAGGTACCTACCACCATGCTTGGCTAATTTTTAAATTTTTCGTAGAGATGGGGCTGCCCAAGCTGGTCTCGAACTCCTGGACTCAAATGATCCACCTGCCTCAGCCTCCCAAAGTGCTGTGTTGACAGGTGTGAGCCACCGCACCGGGCCACTTTGCTCCTTTCGGAGCAGATAATTCTACTCTATGACCACATTTTGTTTTTCACTCCCCAGTCAGTGGGCATTTGGGCTGTTTCAATTTTTTGACTCAAAATGCTGTGAAGAACATCTGTGTGTAAGTCTTCATGGGGACACGTGTTTTCATTTCTCTTGGGTAGATACCTAAGAGTGGAGTTGCTGGGTTGTACTGTAAATTTATGTTTAACTCTTGCAGAAACTGCTAACCTGTTTTTCAACATGGTGGTACCGTCTCGTTCCCACCAGCACTGTATGAGGGCTTCTGTGTCCCCATGTCCTCGCCAACCCCTCACATTTGCAGGTGATGAGATGTAGCTGAGAGAATGGTTTGTCAGTCACACTGCAGGCAGTGGCAGATCTGAGGTTTCTGAACCCATGTGGACCTGACTTTCTGCTCTGGGCATGGACTTTTAGCAAAATGCAGTGGTTAAGGCTCTGAAGAGGTGGATCAGCAGGGTCTGCCAGGCTGGCATCCCGGGAGATGGGGCAGGGCTTGCAGAGATCTGAGGAGTGAGTGGATGGGGCTCAGTGGCCCTTGACTCACGCCACTACCCAAGGGCTCGGGCCCCAGCATGGCCAGTGGCAAGGGCGTCCATCCTGGGAGGTCTTGGCCTCTGTCGTATGCAAGATCTTCTCTCTGGCACCCTCTCCTGCCCCACTGGCCTTTCCTGCAGGCTGCCATGTATCCCCACTTCCGCCCTCCACAGGAGGAGGAATGGGCTCTCCTGTCCCAGCCCCCAGATCTTTACCTCTTTCTGCCAACCTCAGAGTCCGCATGCAACCTGAGTGTCAAAGAGGAGGAACAAGCTCATCTGGTCCATCTGTCTTCCTCAGGGAAGGACCAAGTGACAGGCCAATGGGTCAGGTGGGTCTGGCCAGCAGGTGGCAGCACAGCCCCATGTGTGCTGGACAGCCCTCCTCCCTTCCCACCAACACCGTGGCACCACTACCCTTGCCTCAAGGAATGGAGGTCCCATCGGGCCCAAGGGTCCAGACCACCCATCCAAACTCCCTTTGCAAACTTGGAAAAGAGGGAAAGATGGAAAACGTGCATTAATGGAGCACCAGGCACAGGCCAAAGCTGCTTCATATACACCCTTTCTCTTTTTTTTTTTTGAGCCAGAATTTCGCTCTTGTTACCCAGGCTGGAGTGCAATGGCGCGATCTCAGCTCACTGCAACCTCCGCCTCCTGGGTTCAAGCAATTATCCTGCCTCAGCCTCCCAAGTAGCTGGGACTACAGGCGTGCACCACCATGCCCAGCTAATTTTTGTATTTTTAGTAGAGACAGGGTTTCACCATGTTGTCCAGGATGGTCTCGATCTCTTGGCCTCGTGATCCACCCGCCTCAGCCTCCCAAAGTGCTGGGATTACAGGCGTGAGCCACCGCGCCCGGCCTACACCCTTTCTCTTAATCCTCATGTCCACCCTGAGAACTGAGTCCTCATCTTTCTCCTGAAACTGACTCAGTGGTTCAGTGGCTTGTCCCAAGTCTTGCATACTAAGTGGTCAACCTCAGTCCCCACCCACCACACACAGAGTAAGCCTCTGACTCTTAAAGGCGGGTGGCACCCCGGCCAATGTCCTGAGTGTGAGCTGCGGCACCAGGTACACCCGAGTTCAAATCCTGATGCTGCACCTCCTTTGTGTGTGACCTTGGGTAAATGACTGAACCTCTCACGCTGCAGCTGCCCCATCTGCGCGACAGGGGGCGCTTCAAACCCCATGCTGTGAACCCGAAATGAGACACCTCATTTGTGAGGGAGGATGAGCAAGGACGGCTGTGATTTCCTGAGACTGGGAGACTTTTCAGGCTGGAGAGCAGGGCTGGTGGTTTTCAGTCTCCTCCAGATCCTCGGGAGGGTCGTTCTCTTTGGTGCTTTCACCTTCTATCTAGTTGGATCTGTCCCCAACCCATTCACAGGGGGTAGGGAAAGCCGGACACCCAAAGGCACCTGGAGATCTGACTGAGCTCCACTGCCCAACCTTGGGAGGCAAATTCCAGCTGGGATAAAAGAAGGAACAGAGTTTCTAGGACCCCCCCACCTGTCCTCCAGTTATTTCCTCTCCTCTTCCTTGCTGCAGCCCTAAACTTTGCTCATCCTTCAAGGCTAGGTCAGACCTCCTCCTCCAGGCAGTCTCCCAGCCTGCCCCAGTCTACCCTTGCCTGCCAGCCTCAAGGCCCAGTACCTAAGGCACTGTCAGCACCAGAAGGGCTGCGAGTTCTGCCCAGGGCAGGACCAGGGTCCCCTGGGGACAACCCCAGGCGGGCATGATCCAAGCTGTGGTCTCCCCCACCCCACAGAGGAGGCGCTGTGGACCACTCGGGCTGATGGGCAGGTGCGCCTGCGCATAGACCCCAGCTGCCCACAATTTCCCTACACTGTGCATCGGATGTTCTACGAGGCCCTGGACAAGTACGGGGACCTCAGCGCTCTGGGCTTCAAGCGCCAGGACAAGTGGGAGCACATCTCCTACTCCCAGTACTACCTGCTCGCCCGCAGAGCCGCCAAGGGCTTCCTGAAGGTAAGGGGGCCCCTGTGCAAGTCCTGTCCCCTGCCCAGGTGTGCCTGCCAGCTCTGGGCCTCATAGGCCTCCTCCCCAACTGCCCACTGGGCAAGGCCCTTAGGAACAATAACTGTAAAAGTCACCCTCACCCCTGTAATCCCAGCACTTTGGGAGGCCGAGGTGGGTAGATGACGTAAGGTCAGGGGTTCGAGACCAGCCTCGCAAGCACGGTGAAATCCCGTCTCTGCTAAAAATAGAAAAATTGGGCCAGGCGTGGTGCCCCACGCCTATAATCCCAGCACTTTGGGAGGCCGAGCTGGGCAGATCACGAGGTCAGGAGTTTGAGACCATCCTGTCCAACATGAAGAAATCCCATCTCTACTAAAAATACAAAACTTAGCCAGGCATGGGGGCACGAACCTGTAATCCCAGCTACTCAGGAGGCTGAGGCAGGAGAATCGCTTGAACCCGGGAGGTGGAGGTTGCAGTGAGCCGAGATCGTGCCACTGCACTCCAGCCTGGGCAACAGAGTGAGACTCCGTCTCAAAAAAAAAAAAAAAAAAAGCCACCACTGAGCACAGAGCTGATCCCGCACCCTGGGCCCCGTACTGAGCTTGTATTTCCTGAGTCCTGACCATGCGCCAAGCACTCGATTCTTGCTTTTCGTTTGTGATCACATTCAGGCCAGGCTGGAAGCCCAGCACGCTGGGCTGAAGGCGGGGGCGGACTCCCCGGGAAGGCCCTGGGAGGGACGGCGAGGGCTGTTGAGTGACCAACCCCTCCTGCTCCAAGGGGATTCTCTGACTGAGTGGACACTGGGAGGGTGGGACCTGCAGGGTCCCCTGCAGTCTGGGTGAGGGCCCTGAGAGGAGCGTGAGGGTCCCAGTACCTGCCCGGCTGACCTGGCCTGTCTGCCTCTGGCCTGGAGCTCGGCCTGGAGCGGGCCCACAGCGTGGCCATCCTCGGCTTCAACTCCCCGGAGTGGTTCTTCTCGGCAGTGGGCGCAGTGTTCGCAGGGTGAGTGGCGGGGGCAGCGGAGGGTCTCCAGTGGGTTAGCAGTGGGCAGAGGGTAGGAGAGGGTCCTTATCTCTTTTTAGTAGCCCCCACCCACTCCCCGCCATCCTGCCTCCTCCCTGGGGCTCTGGGTGAACCTGCGTCTGGCACCCTCTCTGCAGGGACAGTGGTGCTGAGGTGCCTTGGGAGCCCCTCCTGCCACACTGGGGCCGCTCACTGGGTCTGGGGGCTGGGGGAAGGAGGTGGCCCCTCTGCACCTGCCCCAAGGCGAATCCTCCTGGGTCTCCTACAGTGGCATCATCACTGGCATCTACACCACCAGCTCCCCTGAGGCCTGCCAGTACATCGCCCACGACTGCCGCGCCAACGTCATTGTGGTGGACACGCAGAAGCAGCTGGAAAAGATCCTGAAGGTTTGGGGAAGGGGCAGCGGGCATAGGGTCAGAGGCTGGGCGTCTCCATGCACCTCCACTCCAACTCACACGGGACCTTCCCACCCTTCACCCAGAGTCTCCCCTCATCCTCAGCAGGAACCCTCCAATGCACACACAGCAAGCAAGGCAGGGCAGCGGCTACCCACGCATTTGACAGGCAAGGAAATGGAGCCTGGGGGATGTTCCCCGGTAGTGGTGACAGGGCCTTGGGTAGGGCTCCTGTCCAGCCCACTGCCTCCCATGGCTTTCTCTTTGGGGCGGGGTCTCCTCCTAAGCAGCAACAGGAGCTGTGGGGCCAGGGTCCTTCGCCGGTGGCAGGGTTAAGTGCAGGTAAGTGGCTTAGGACTCTGACACCTTGAACGCTCGAGTCTAGGTGAGGAACAGGGTGGTGGGGGGCGGTGAGGGCTGCCACAGGGAGAGGGGTGAGACGAATCAGACACAGTGGGGGCAGAGCAGGAGCTCAGAGCGCCTCTAGATCCAGCAGGGTCTTTTCTGGCGCATTGATGATGCCTCCTGATCTGAGGCCCACCCCTACCTGGCTCTGTCCCCGCATTCACCATACTGGGGTGTGGTGGCCTGGGGACACCTCTGTGTCCCAGCTGAACCCAACAGCCTTCAAGGCACTCAGGGGCTCCCTGCACCTCAAAGGAGGCCTCAGAGATTGACTTGGCCTGCCTCTGATTGTGGAGATGTCACCTGGGCCACAGCCTCGCCATCTGTACCCAAGGGTGGGACAAATGACTCCACCCATGACTGTGGGATCTGGATCCCCAGAGGAGCCGCAGCAGGCGCTACCCTCATTTCTAGTGAAGTCTCCTAAAGCCTGAAAGAGAAAAGCAGGCAGGGCAGGCGTTCCCAGCAGGGCAGCTCCTCCTTGGGGGAAGCCCAGACTGCAGCCCAGACCCTTGAGGCAGAACCTCTTGGAGGGAAGCCCCAAGTCAGAGTGCACTTTAACATAGCCTCAGGTGAGGCTGTCGGCAGCCAGGCCAAGAACTTCCTGCTCACAGCAAAATAAAATGTAGCCCCGGGAAGACCTCAGAGCTGCCCTGCCAGACGCACCGAGGCCTCTGAGCAGGGTTTAAACTCAGAGGAGGTGTAGAGAAGTGGGTGAGCACACACCCCTGGGCTGGGGCTGGACCTGCCAGAGCTCAAATGCAGTGTGGCCTTGGGGAGGATGGTGGCAGCCGCAGAGGTCACCTCAAAGGGCTGGTATGAGCATAACTCTTAGACCAGCGTCTGGCTCTTGGCGGATACCCGCGTTCATGGACCACGGCTGCTGTGACTGGGTGGCTTCCGGGGCTTGCTGGCCATCTGTGTTTCTTGGCTTGTAGACGCATGGCCCAGACCTCTGCCTTCATCTTCACCTGGTGTTCCACCGGTGTCTTCACGTCATCGTCCTGTCTGTCTCTGTGTCCAAATTTCCCATTTCTATAAAGACACCAGGAATATTGGATCCAGCCCACCCTAATGGCTTTGTTTTAACTTCATTACCTCCATAAAGACCGTGTCTCCAAATAAGGTCACATTCCGAGGTACTGGGGGTTACGACTTTGGCATATCTCTTTTCGGGGGACAGAATCCAACCCATGGCAGCACCATGTAAGTGCTTGTAGATCATGACATTGTTACAGTCTTCACTTGTAAGACAAGAGAGAAAGGAGCTCTAAGACGCAAGGAACTTTCAGAACCTGGAGGGACTGGAAAAGCCATCCCCGCCAATCTCCCCTCTGTCCATTTCACACGTGAAGAAACAGACCAGAGTGGGAAAGGAGGGTGCCAGTAGCCACAGCAGCGGCCAGATGCGGTTCACGCCACACTGGCGCCACTGAGCGCCCTGCGGAGATGGGTCTCCTCACCCATTTGACAGGCAAGAAAACCAAGGGCCAGAGAAGTGAACTATGACTTACTGAAGGTCCCATCCCTTGCAGGCGGCAGTAGAGTGACTCTGTGCTGCAGGCTCTTAAGAGGGAGCCGTTAAGAACCATTTGTGAGAGAAATCAAGGGGCCGCAATCTCTCCACAAAGCACCGTTTATGGAGAGCTTACAAAGTGCCAGAGCCCGCTCTGAATACCCTAAATCAGCCACACCCTGAATACTCTGCGGCAGAGCATGCCCTTCCTCCTCCCACCAGGACGAGAAGGAAATAGGTAGCTGTGGCAGCTCCTGGCAGCCCTTGGAGGCCAGAGTCACTGAGAGGAGGCAGAGGGAGGTCTCCAGCCCCGACCAGCGTCTGGGTTGGGAACGGGTCATCAACCTTAGGGTTTCAACCCTCGGCCTGTGGAAGCGGTGCTGGCTTCGCGGGGCTGTGGCCCGTGCTCCACCTGACACAAAGCCCAGGCTTCTGAAATTCTTTCTTTCTTTCTCTCTCTCTCTTTCTTTCTTTCTTTCTTTCCTCTTTCCTCTCTTCTTTCTTTCTTCTTCCTTCCTTCTTTCTTTCTCTTTCCTCTCTATTTCTCTTTCTTCTCTCTCTCTCTTTCTCTCTCTCTCTTTCCCTTTCTCTCTCTCTCTTCCTCTTTCTCTCTTTCTTTCCCTCCCTCCCTCCCTCGCTCTCTCCCTCCCTCCTTCCTTCCTCCCTCCCTCCCTCCCTCCCTTCCTTCCTTCCTCCCTCCCTCCCTCCCTCCCTTCCTTCCTTCCTTCCCTCTTTCTCTCTCTCTCTTGACAGAGCCTCATACTGTTGCCCAGGCTGGAGTGCAGTGGTGCAATCTCGGCTCACTGCAATCTCCCCCTCCTGGGTTCAAGCAATTCTCCTGCCTCAGCCTCTCAAGTAGCTGAGATTACAGGTGCGTGCCACTACACCTGGCTAATTTTTTGTATTTTTAGTAGAGACGGGGTTTCACTATGTTGGCCAGACTGGTCTTGAACTTCTGACCTTGTGATCCTCCCACCTTGGCCTCCCCAAGTACTGGGATTACAGGTGTGAGCTACCACGCCCGACCTACCTACCTTCCTTCCTTCCTTCCTTCCTTCCTTCCTTCCTCTTTTTCTTTCTCTCTTTCTTTCTTTTTCTTTCTTCTTTTCTTTTCTCTCCTCTCCTCTCTTCTCTTCTCCACCTCACTTTTCTTTTTTTGTTTTCTTTCTCTTCTTTTCTTTCTTCCTGTCTCGCTCTGTCACCCAGGCTGGAGTGAAGTAGCTCAATCATAACTCACTACAGCCTCGACATCCCGGGCCCAAGTGATCCTCCCACCTCAGCCTCCCAAGTAGCTGGAACTACAGGCATGGGACTCTACACCTGGCTAATTTTTTGTAGAGATGGGGTCTTGCTCTGTTGCCCAGGCTGGCCTTAAACACCTGGCCTTAAACAATCCTCTGTCTCGGCCTCCCAAAGTGCTGGGCTTATAGGCATGAACCACCTCGCCTAGCCTTGAAAGTCTTACTAAGGTTTGAAGAAGGGGTCCCACATTTACATTTTGCACCCAACCAGTTCTGCCTTCAGGTTCCAGACCCCTCCAAGGATTTGTTCTAATCCATGTGAGTGCACCCATCCCCATTTTGCAGTTGAAGAAACTGAGGCCCAGAGTTACGAAATGACCACCCCAGGTCAGTATTTAAAAGGAAGCTTGGTTTTTTAAATTTTTTTTTAGACCAAATTCAAACTATTTACACTTACTTATTTTCATCTTTGTTGTCAAAAGAAAGGAGCCTACTGTTTTTTATTTGTTTTTGTGAGTTCTTTTTGACTGAGTCCTGATTGATTTCATCTTCATTTGGCTTCTTTTTTGAGCTTCCTGTTAAACCTGAACATTTTTCATTTGAGGGACGCTTGACTGGTTTTCGATATAGGTTTCTTCCATCAGCTGAAGGAGGTTCTTCATCTGCTCTGACAGCCTTTATTTCTGCTTTAATTTTCGTGACTTCTTCAAGTGACAGGAGTCCCTTTTTCTTTTTTTCTTTCTTTTTTTTTTCTTTTTTTGGAGACAGAGTCTTGTTCTGTCACCAGGCGCCAGGCTGGAGTGCAGTGGCGTGATCTCGGGTTTAAGCAATTCTCCTGCCTCAGTCTCCCGAGTAGCTGGGACTACAGGCGTGCGCCACCACGCTCAGCTAATTTTTATATTTTTAGTAGAGATGGGGTTTCACCATGTTGGCCAGGATGGTCTCGATCTCTTGACCTTGTGATCCGCCCACCTCGGCCTCCCAAAATGCTGGGATTACAGGCGTGAACAACCGCGCCCAGCAGGTCTTCCTTTTTTAAAACCACTACTTGAGGCTGTTCATCTTCTTTGTCACTGTGATCCCCATCTTCATCTGGGAGCTGAGGCTGGATTCTCCTGGTCTCTACAGTGGGCCCCTCCCTGTAGCCCACCTATTCCTTGAAGCGAGCCAGGAATGCCGGCTCTGTTGGCCACACATAAGATACCTGGTTCTGCTTGCTCATGGTAGCTCTGGGTTGGTTTTTTAAATTTTTGAGACAAGGTCTCACTTTGGCACCAAGGCTGGAGTACGGTAGTGTGATCATGGCTCACTGCAGCCTCGACCTCCTGGGCTCAAGCAGTCCTCCCACTTCAGCCTCCTGAGTTGCTGGGACTTTAGGTGCCTGCAGCACCATGCCTAGGTAACTTCTGTGTTTTTTCCTTACAGAGACAAGGTCTCACTATGTTGCCCAGGCTGGTCTTAAATTCCTGGGTTCATGCAATCCAACATGCTGGAATTACAGGCATGTGACACTATGCCTGGTGATGGTTAGGCTTTGTGTCCCCATAAAAATCTCATCTTGAATTGTAATCCCCAGGTGTTCAGGGAAAGACCCGGTGGGAGTGATTGGATTATGGGGATGGTTTCCCCTATGCTGTTCTCATGAGAGCCAGTGAATTCTCACAAGATCTGATGGTTTTATAAACGGCAGACTTTCCTGCACTGACACACACTCGCCCTGTCTCCTGCCGCCATGTAGGATGTGCCTGCTTCCCCTTATGCCATGATTGTCAGTTTCCTGAGGCCTCCCCAGCCATGCAGAACTGCGAGTCAATTAAACCTCTTTCCTT